ACTACAACAGTACTACAGTACTGCAGTACTACAGTACACTGTTGTACAGTAGTACTACATTACTACAGTACAGTAGTACCACAGTACTCACATGGAGATGCTTGATGGAGTTTAACTCGTGTTTCTCTTTTCCAGTGGCCGACCTGATCTGACCCCTGACCCCTGTGGGCGGAGTCTGTGTGAAGTGGGCGTGGCCTGTGGGCGGAGTTGTTGGGGCGGAGTCTTGTGGTGTGGGCGTGGCCTGTGGGCGGTGTCATTGTGGAGTTCTGTTTCTAAATGTTTCTTTTTATTTCTATTTTAAACTTTTATTTGAACAGAAATGTTTTGTAAATAAAGCCTCAGTTTGAAGCACAGCGTCTCCTTTTGATGATGTCATCACATCTACACATCTACAGAGTCACGAGCGGCTGCTGCGGCTGCAGTTTTCAGCACGAGTTTGTATAAAAATATAAACTACGCGCATAAAAATAATAGGAGACACATGAGTTAAACACAGATCCAGTTTGTACAGGACATTTTTAATGGATGCATCTTTGATGGGAAACATAAAATAATTTTAATTTAATTTAAAATTTGTTTTGGGTTCCAGTTTTAAATCGGCTGGTAAATAGTCCCACAGTCTAAGTCCCGAACACAAGAACACCACGATCAAACCGCGAGCACCGCGAGCACCACCGCGAGCACCACCTGTATCTGTGCAGTTTATGCTCCAGGCAAATGTGTGTTTCACAATTCAGACACTTCAAAAGGAATTTAATGATTAAAATTGGTAAAATGTTCAAAGTGAAATAGTTTGTTTCTTTTAAATGTCACTGTGCTGCCGGTGTCTGTGGTTTTTGTCTCGGACCTTAAAGCTGCGTTCAGTCTGCAGCCTGAAGTGAGCCAAATCTGATTTTTTGGCCCCTATGTTCCTGTATTCGATCTTATCGAAGCCTATGGCTTGTCCCCTGAGGAAAGACATAGGCTGAAACGCGTCGGGACTTTGTAAGTTTGTCCATTAAAACCTGCCGCAAACTAATAAAGGCATTTTATTTTTAACCAGTGAGTGCCTTGTGTTTTTTGCATCTTTGACATTATAATGTGTTTAATTCAACTTTGACACATTTGTTTATGTCTTACAGAAACAAAACTTAAAACCGCATGGATAATTTGCATAAACTGTAAATGCTGGAAAAAAGTGTCTTTGTCCTTGTGCGCTGATGCCTCCGCTTCTGTCGGACTAAAGGACACGACTACATGTTCTTTCTGTGAGGGATGTCACTGCAACTTTTGGACGCGTAATTTGTAGAATGAAAGTGATTAGAGCGACCCCACTGCACATGCGTGCGGGGCGGCGCGTGCGGGCGGCGCGTGCGGGGCGGCGCGTGCGGGCGGCGCGTGCGGGGCATCCTGCACGTGGAGATTTCAGAAAATCCATCCTATTTTCTGACGCTCTCTCTATGCTCTACGCGAGCGTACATATATAGAGTACACAAATACACAGAGAGCATGTATCTTTTGTTGTATTTGTGCATTTACAATAGTACAACGTGCTCCTTGAGCAGTTCTGTATCGTGTGAAAGAGCCCAGCTCCACAAAGACTCTTCATTAATCTTTTCCCATTGAGAAACACAGAGCCGGAGCCAGAGCCACGCGTCAACGCAAATGCGGCTCCACCGGCAGCTGCAGCAGGACGAACACGCGCAGCACTGACTCAGGGTTTGTCCATGTAAAGACGCTCAAACTTGACTGATTCGTTTAGTCGCTTGTATCAGGTCCACAGTGAAACTAAAAAGTGCAGCAGAACTTCACGAGACTCGTCAGGTGAAAACAAATTCCAATGTTTAATTGAACCCAACAGTGACGTACGTCGTTCATCTGACATAATTTGAACAAATTCATGTTCAAGTTCTTGATTTACAAAAGTGTTGCGTTCAGTTCAAAGTTCACTGAAAAGAGTTCTTTTGAACACGTTCATGCACAACACTGACTGTAGTAGTATTAGAAGAAATAGTAGTAGTAGTAGTAGTAGTAGTAGTAGTACTAGTACTAGTACTAGTAGTACTAGTAGTAGTTGTAGTAGTTGTAGTAGTTGTAGTATTCAGGGGCTACAGGCGCGTAGACGCGGTGTCAGAGGCTTTTATTGTGGAGAGACACGCCGGAAGTGCGGGGCCTGTGCGCGCTGACGTCACAGTGGAAAGAGCGTTGTGAGGATGAGGTGAGTGCGTCAGACCGTTACGTGATGTTTATGTTTGATTCTTTTAACATTTTGATCAAAATCATAAAACACGAGACACGTGACCCGCGCGCGAGCTGCCCCTGGGCGCGTGCACGATCTGCCCCGGTGCGCGTGCATCAAGCTCGTCTCCTCGCTCCTCGTTTCCTCGCTCCTCGCTTCCTTTCCTCAGACTCGTCTCCTCCGCCCTGTGACGCGCGCGTGCGTGCGTCTGTGCGCGGGTCCGTGACGTTCACGTGATTTAAACATTTTGAGATAAAAATGTTTTTATTCACCACGTTGTGACGTAGAGAAGGAGGAGGAGAGAGGAGGAAGATGAGGAGGAGGAGTGTGTTTTCCATCTGTGTGTTTTTCGTCACACTCAGACTCTTTTGACTCTTTTGACTCTTTAGGTCCGAGGTTCTGGTTCTGTGTTTGGTCCTGGTTCAGTCCTGGTCTCAGTCCCGGTCTCAGTCCATAGACCCGGTCCAGCTTCTGGCCCAGCGCTGGTCGGACTTTGGGTTCCGTTTGTTCCGGGAGGCGGCGTCTCGCTCGGACCAGAACCTGCTCCTGAGTCCCAGCGGAACCGGACTGAGTCTGAGCTCGGTTCTGGAGCGAAGCGCCGGCAGCGGCAGAGAGCAGCTGGAGAGGGCCCTGGGGCTGCAGGGCCTGCAGGCTGCAGGTGTGTACTACATGTAAATGGTCACATTTTTCTATAGCACTTTTCCACCTTCAAGGCTCAAAGCTCAACAAGGAACCACTCACACAGTCACACATTCACACATTGTGGGCAAGGTAGGTTAAGTGTCTTGCCCAAGAACACAACGGCAGCATTCATCTGTGGAGAGCTGGAATCACACCACCAACCTTCAGATCAGTGGGCGAATGCTCCACCCACTGAACTACTATGTATTTAACTATAGAAACTCTGTATATTATATATACAGTATATACACACACACACACACACACCACACACACACACATATATATATATATATGTGTGTGTGTGTGTGTGTGTGTGTATATACCTGGTCTGGTTCTCTCATAGACCAGGGGACTCATTTATAAAACTGCGCAGATGTTGTCGTAAGTTAGTGCGTACGTTTAATAGCTACGACAGTCGAGCGCCGCAAACTCCATATTTAGAAAACCCACCGCACGAACCAAACCTGCAACCCCCTCACACCTCCACCTCACCATAAAAGGACAGACCACGCCCCCTCACACCTCCACCTCACCATAAAAGGACAGACCACGCCCCCTCACACCTCCACCTCACCATAAAAGGACAGACCACGCCCCCTCACACCTCCACCTCACCATAAAAGGAGCAGGTAAAGTGACTCGTGAATGAAATTTCCCTAAACATGAGTCGATAATCAGACACGCGGGACAGAGGGAGGAGGAGGCTCCACGCAGCACCACGTGATCACCACAAACACTTTATTAAAGACTTTATTAAATAAGGTTTAATAAATACAAAACTAAAAGTGACAATAATGACTCATCTGTTCATTTAATCATATTTTATAATATTACGGCAGAACATCTTTGCAGTAAAGACCATGTGTTTTTTCACTGTTTCAACAGTTTTATCTCTATATTTTTAAGTGTGTCTATGAAGTGTGTGAGGACTGGTCCTGTATTTATACATATACATGTAGATACGTGCACGCGCTGATCTGAACGGTCAAATTATGAGCGCGTGCGAGAGATTCAGATGCCCTCCCCTGGAGAGGGAAAGGAGCGAAGGAAGGACACGAGGACACGAGGACACAGATTTATCATTAAACACATCAGATACAGATGTTATTCTGCCGATTAAAGTCCACACGAAACATCCAAACTGCTGAACCTGTGAGTGCGGGTCTGTGAGTGCGGGTCTGTGTGTGCGGGTCTGTGTGTCTGTGAGTGCGGGTCTGTGAGTGCGGGTCTGTGAGTGCGGGTCTGTGAGTGCGGGTCTGTGAGTGCGGGTCTGTGAGTGCGGGTCTGTGAGTGCGGGTCTGTGAGTGCGGGTCTGTGAGTGCGGGTCTGTGAGTGCGGGTCTGTGAGTGCGGGTCTGAGTGTAGTGCAGTGCAGTGCAAAGTGTAGGGCAGATTTTGGTTGGGGTCAGGTTCGGTCAGTGGGCTTTGTGTTGTCCGCAGACTCAGGTCACAGACTCGGGTCACAGACTCGGGTCACAGACTCAGGTCACTCTGGCGCTCGGTGAGTAAAGACTAAAGTAAAAGTGTTAAAGTTTTGTTCATTAAATCAAAGTCTGGCTCCTGCTGCGTCTGAGGGAAGAGTTTAGTCTCAGGTCGGGTCATTATTTCGTCCTCTGTGTTGGTCAGTCTGTGTCGGTCAGTCTGTGTTGGTCAGTATAAAGTCTGTGGTCTTGTTGTGGACTGTGGGACTCTGCGCTGCACCGAGTCCGGGAACGTGTCCGCGCTTGTGCACAAGTTTAAATGTTTAATATTGTGGAGAATAATGAGTGGAATAAACAGCTCTTCTCCGTGTTTTGTTGAACCAAACACTTAAATGTACAAATCTGAAGGTCATTCTTCTGTATACGTGGATTTTCTGATCAAACTCTTCCTCAAACTCTGTTCACTTCTGCTTCTCTCCACGAGTGTCGCTTTTTCCCCGTGTCTCCAGACTTTGTGTAGAACTTACAGGAGGTTCAGAGTTGGTGTAGAGTTAAACAAAGAGCCACGACTTAGTCGAGTTTTATAAATACCGCGGTTGGTGTAGGAAGCGACGACGCACGGATTTTTGCGTAAGCAAGATTTATAAATGAGGCCCCTGGTCTGGTTCTCTGTAGACCTGGTCTGGTTCTCTCATAGACCTGGTCTGGTTCTCTTGTAGACCTGGTCTCTGGACTTCGAGCAGCGGTGGGTGGAGACTCTCTTGGGGGCGTGGCCTGGTTCGTGGCGCAGGGGGCGGAGCCTGATGATGCGTACAGGAAGAGTCTGGAGGGGAGTTTTGGGGCGGACCTTCAGACGGTGGACTTCGGCTCACCTCAGGACTCTACGGACTCCATCCAGCGCTGGGTCCTGGAGCAGACCCGACAGCGAGTCCAGACCCCGACGACCGGACTAGACCTGGGACCGGACCCACAGCTGGTCCTCGCCTCGGCTCTTCACGTCCAGAGTGAGTCCAGTTTAGACCTGATTCAGTCCTGACTTCAGTCTTACTTTAGACCCACTTCTAACCCTGCGCTCTCCTCTGGTCTCTGCTCTGGTCTCTGCTCTGGTCTCTGGTCTCTGGTTTCTGCTCTGGTCTCTGCTCTGGTCTCTGGTCTCTGGTTTCTGCTCTGGTCTCTGGTCTCTGGTCTCTGCTCTGGTCTCTGGTCTCTGGTCTCTGCTCTGGTCTCTGGTCTCTGGTTTCTGCTCTGGTCTCTGGTCTGATCTCTGGTCTCTGGTCTCTGGTCTCGGTCTGGTTCAGGCCGGTTCTCGGTCCCCTTTAATGCGTCCCAGACGGTGCAGGAGCGGTTCTTCGTGGACCGGTACCACACGGTGATGGTTCCGATGATGCTGACCACGGGCAGGTTCCTGTTGGCGTACGACCGGAACCTGAGGACTGGAGTCCTGAGGCTGGGACTGGACCGGGACCGAGCAGCCATGTTGGTTCTGCTGCCGGACGAGGGCGTGCACGTGAGCGCGCTGGAGGACGAGCTGAGCGGCGAAAAACTCCAAAAACTCGTCCGAGCGCTCAAGAAGACGTGAGTTTATTATTATTATTATTATTATTATTATTATTATTATTATTATTATTATTATTATTCATTATTATTATTATTAATAATAATAATAATAATAATAAGACTTAACCCTGTCTCCGGTGTCGACCTTCAGGCGTCTCGAGGTCCAGATTCCGCGCTTCGCTCTGGAACAGGCCACGCCCCTAAAACCCGTCCTCCAGAAGCTGCAGGTCACACAGGTGTTCGCCGACAACTCCCTCTCCCAGGTCAGTCCCAAAACCGGTTTAGATCCTCCTAGAACCAGGTCAGTCCCAGAACCGGTTTAGATCCTCCTAGAACCAGGTCAGTCCCAGAACCGGTTTAGATCCTCCTAGAACCAGGTCAGTCCCAAAACCGGTTTAGATCCTCCTAGAACCAGGTCAGTCCCAAAACTGGTTTAGATCCTCCTAGAACCAGGTCAGTCCCAGAACCGGTTTAGATCCTCCTAGAACCAGGTCAGTCCCAAAACCGGTTTAGATCCTCCTAGAACCAGGTCTGTCCCAAAACCGGTTTAGATCCTCCTAGAACCAGGTCAGTCCCAAAAAACGGTTTAGATCCTCCTAGAACCAGGTCAGTCCCAAAACCGGTTTAGATCCTCCTAGAACCAGGTCAGTCCCAGAACCGGTTTAGATCTAAGACCCTTTCTGGACCTGTTCATAGTCCTGTAGTCTGGTCCGAATCCCTGCATGTGGACCCGGTCTACACCCGGTCTACACCCGGTCTACACCCGGTCTACACCCGGTCTACACCCGGTCTACACTGTTTTTCAGGTCCTGGACTCGGTGGCTCTTTCCGTGGACGAGACTTCGGCGCCGGGAAGCGTGGCCAGCTCTTTTAAGACCCCGCCCCCTCGGCTCACTGTGAATCGGCCGTTCCTATTGGTCGTTTATCACGAAGCAACAGAAACGGTGCAGATGATTGGACGAGTCATGGACCCCACCCAGAAATGACCAGTCACATCACACCCTGGTCTAGTCCAGGTCTAGTCCTGGTCTAGTCCTGGTCTAGTCCCGGTCTAGTCCTGGTCTAGTCCCGGTCTAGTCCAGGTCTAGTCCTGGTTTAGTCCCGGTCTAGTCCAGGTCTAGTTCTGGTTTAGTCCCGGTCTAGTCCAGGTCTAGTTCTGGTTTAGTCCTGGTTATTTCTGGTTTGTTTTTCGTTTGTTTCCTTCAATTAAATAAACTGTCTTGAACCTGAAGTTTTGTAGTACTGCAGAAAAGCAGTACAACTACTACTACTACTACTACTATCACTACTACTACTACTACTACTACTACTACTACTACTATAGTACAGTACTGTTACTGCCTGAGCTTGTACTTTGTCACTTTTAATTCCACTAAAACTGTGTATTTTTACTTAAGTACTGGAACTGTCTCCTCCCTCCTTGTTTTCACTCTCTGACGCTATCTCCTTGTCTCCTTGTCTTCTCCCTCCTTGTCTCCTTGTCTCCTCCCTCCTTGTCTCCTTGTCTCCTCCCTCCTTGTCTCCTCTCTCGGTCTCTGTTTCCTTGTGAGTTTTTCTTGTGATGTAATGATCTGTTAAACACTACACTTCCCATGATGCTCTGCTTCTGCTGGTCAATAATAAACAACTGTTACAAATGTGTACGGCTTTGGTTTAGTCCTGGTCTAGTCCTGGTCTAGTCCTGGTCTAGTCCTGGTTTAGTCCTGGTTTAGTCCTGGTCTAGTCCTGGTTTAGTCCTGTTTTTTCTTGAGTACTCTGGAATACTCGAGTACTCTGGAATACTCGAGTACTCTGAAATACTTGAGTACTCTGGGATATTCGTGACTTAGACAAACTTTTTTGATCCACAGGGATTCAGACACAAAGTCACACGACACGACAGAAAATAATAACAAATATAATAAATATAATAAACAATAAATATAAATGTGATAAATTCTAAATAAAAAGCAAAAAAGAACAAGAGACAAATAAAACATTGATGTAAATGTAAATCTAAATAAAATAGAAAAATAAGAAATAAAATATAAAATCACAGATTTATACAAGAGGAAGACACAGAGTGATGTGTTACATAAGGTTGTAGGGAGTATTATCTGTCACATAAGGGAGTATGTACAGTTGTAGGGAGTATTATCTGTCACATAAGGGAGTATGTACAGTTGTAGGGAGTATTATCTGTCACATAAGGGAGTATGTACAGTTGTAGGGAGTATTATCTGTCACATAAGGGAGTATGTAAAGTTGTAGGGAGTATTGTCTGTCACATAAAGGTGAGTTGTTGTTCTTCTTGTGCAGTGTTACAGTGTGAAATTTCTCCATTTGCCTTTTGCAAAAATATATATATTTTTGGCCATAACTTGAGAATATAATATATTTTATATTATAAAATATATTTTAAATATCATCATCTATATTTATTTCTATGCACGCCGCTGGGGGCGCTGTCACTTCCGCTGATGGCGCTGTTACTTCCGCTCACAAAAGTGTCATGGCGGCGCACAGACTCCCGCAATGACTTTTCTCAAAACAACCCGCCGAACCGAACCGGACCGGACCAGACTAACCCAGAACCAGGACCGAATCGGACCGGACTAACCCAGAACCGACCCGGACTAACCCAGAACCAGGACCGGACCCGGGACCAGGTGATATTAAGACCTGTTTAATTTCAGATGTCTGAGCCTGGTTTAGTCCTGGTTTAGTCCTGGTTTAGTCCTGGTTCAGACCTGGTTTAGTCCTGGTTCAGACCTGGTTTAGTCCTGGTTCAGACCTGGTTTAGTCCTGGTTCAGACCTGGTTTAGTTCTGGTTCAGTTCTGGTTCAGACCTGGTTTAGTTCTGGTTTAGTCCTGGTTTAATCTTGGTTCTTGGTGCAGGATGGTCTCAGTTCTTCGTGGCGCCTGGAGGGTTTTGGCTCCGCCCCTTCTGCGTGCAGCCCCGCCCCCTCTACGGAAAACCCCCGCCCACTTCCAACAGCAAAGACACACCTCCAAACAGGTAAAAACACACCTCCAAACAGGTAACAGGTGACTGAAACTGATTAAGGACCGTGACCCCTACGTGACCCCTACGTGACCCCTACGTGACCCCTACAGTCAGACACAATCATGGATCTATTAAAATAACTGGATACAGTTTTGCTGCTTGTTTCTGCCTCGAGTTGACGTAGTGTCACTCAGTGGTTCTACAGTCGAAAAAATCCCATGGACCGAGAGAAGATTTTTCTCATAGAGGCAACGTGATCACAACCTGCTCGTGTTCGTCTGACAGGACCTACAACTTTCAAAAATGTCGGATTTTGTGGCGATTTTTACCTATTTTTAGATCATAAACGTTTTCTCGCTCAAAATCCTTCAGTTGTCTTAAAAAATGCTTTATATTCGTTAGCTCCGGCTCCGCTCTGCTCCGTTCTCGTTCTTCTCGCTCTGATTGGTCAAAGCGATCACGTGATACACGAGTCCGCGCTCCGTGCGTGTGGTCGCGTGCATTCGCGTGTTGCCCGTGGGAGAAAAGACTCTACTGCACATGCTCGGTCGCCCACAGCCACCAGAAGAACCTCGCCGGGCTAATCTGGGATCATGAGACATAGAGCTCAGCCCATTGACTTGAATGGGCGGCCATTTTGGAACCTGGGGGCTTGGACACAATAAGCTCAGGTCACATGGTGTGTGCAGGTCAAAGGTCACAGGAAGGAGCCCAAACCGAAAGTGGAGAAACAGGAAGTGGAGATCAAACAGAGGATGAGTGTGGAAGAGCTGGCACGAGCCATGGACCGAGACTGTGGTAAACCTGCACCTGTCTGCACCTGTCTGTATCTGTCTGCACCTGTCAGCTCCTGTCTGCACCTGTCTGCACCTGTCTGCTTCTATCTGCACCTGTCTGCTCCTGTCTGTATCTGTCTGCACCTGTCTGTATCTGTCTGCACCTGTCAGCTCCTGTCTGTATCTGTCTGCACCTGTCTGCACCTGTCAGCTCCTGTCTGCACCTGTCTGCTCCTGTCTGTATCTGTCTGCACCTGTCTGTATCTGTCTGCACCTGTCAGCTCCTGTCTGCATCTGTCTGCACCTGTCTGCACCTGTCTGCTTCTATCTGCACCTGTCTGCTCCTGTCTGTACCTGTCTGCACCTGTCTGCTTCTATCTGCACCTGTCTGCTCCTGTCTGCACCTGTATGCTCCTGTCTGTACCTGTCTGCTCCTGTCTGCACCTGTCTGCATCTCTCTGTATCTGTCTGCACCTGTCAGCTCCTGTCTGCTCCTGTCTGCACCTGTCTGCTCCTGTCTGTACCTGTCTGCTCCTGTCTGCACCTGTCTGCACCTGTCTGCTTCTATCTGCACCTGTCTGCTCCTGTCTGCACCTGTCTGCATCTCTCTGTATCTGTCTGCACCTGTCTGTATCTGGCTGCTCCTGTCTGCACCTGTCTGCTTCTATCTGCACCTGTCTGCTCCTGTCTGCACCTGTCTGCTCCTGTCTGCACCTGTCTGCTTCTATCTGCACCTGTCTGCACCTGTCTGCTTCTATCTGCACCTGTCTGCTCCTGTCTGCACCTGTCTGCTCCTGTCTGCACCTGTCTGCTCCTGTCTGTACCTGTCTGCTCCTGTCTGCACCTGTCTGCTTCTATCTGCACCTGTCTGCACCTGTCTGTATCTGGCTGCTCCTGTCTGCACCTGTCTGCTCCTGTCTGCACCTGTCTGCTTCTATCTGCACCTGTCTGCTTCTATCTGCACCTGTCTGCTCCTGTCTGTACCTGTCTGCACCTGTCTGCTTCTATCTGCACCTGTCTGCTCCTGTCTGCACCTGTCTGCTCCTGTCTGTACCTGTCTGCTCCTGTCTGCACCTGTCTGCTCCTCTGACCTGTGACCTGTGACCCTCAGACCACGTTCTGGAGGTCCTGTCCAACACGTCGTTGGACTCGGTTCTGGGTCTGGACTCGGTTCTGGATCAGTCGTTGATCAAAGAGGTGGTGAAGCTGTCGGGGATGAAGGTCCGATGGGCCAAACTGAGCGAGACCCGCCAGCGCCCCCACAAGGACGTCACCCGCAGGTACAAGAACCTCACAGTCACAAGGTACAAGAACCTCACACTCACAAGGTACAAGAACCTCACACCCGCAGGTCCAAGAACCTCACAGTCACAAAGTACAAGAACCTCACACCCGCAGGTACAAGAACCTCACAGTCAGAAGGTACAAGAACTTCACACTCGCAGGTACAAGAACCTCACAGTCATAAGGTACAAGAACCTCACACTCACAATGTACAAGAACCTCACAGTCACAAGGTACAAGAACCTCACAGTCACAAGATACAAGAACCTCACACCCGCAGGTCCAAGAACCTCACAGTCACAAGGTACAAGAACCTCACAGTCACAGGTACAAGAACAGTCACAGGTATAAGAACCTCAGTCACAAGGTACAAGAACCTCACAGTCACAAGGTACAAGAACCTCACAGTCAGAAGGTACAAGAACCTCACACCCGCAGGTCCAAGAACCTCAGTCACAAGGTACAAGAACCTCACAGTCACAAGGTACAAGAACCTCACAGTCAGAAGGTACAAGAACCTCACAGTCAGAAGGTACAAGAACCTCACAGTCAGAAGGTACAAGAACCTCACAGTCAGAAGGTACAAGAACCTCACAGTCACAGGTACAAGAACCTCACAGTCACAATTGCAACAGTCACAGGTACAAGAACCTCACAGTCATAGATACAAGAACCTCACAGTCACAGTTACAACAGTCACAGGTACAAGAACCTCACAGTCACAGGTACAAGAACCTCACAGTCACAGGTACAAGAACCTCACAGTCATAGATACAAGAACCTCACAGTCACAGTTACAACAGTCACAGGTACAAGAACCTCACAGTCACAGCGCCCCCACAAGGACGCCACGAGCAGGTACACCCAGATGCCCTCGTTGCCTCAGATGCCCTCCCTCTGTCTCGTCCCTCAGACCGCCGCCGGACCCTGCGCTGCTCAGGCCCCGCCCCCCCGTGGTCACAATTATGGGTCACGTGGATCACGGTAAAACCACGCTCCTGGACGCTCTCAGGGCCAGCCAGCTCGCGTCTGCGGAGGCGGGAGGCATCACGCAGCACATCGGAGCCTTTCTGGGTAAAACTCTAACTAGACTAAACTAAACTAACTCAAACTAAACCAAACTACACTAACCCAAACTAAACTAACTCAAACTAAACTAACCCAAACTAAACTAACTCAAACGAACCCAAATTAAACTCAAATTAAACTGAACTAAACTCAAACTAAACTAACTCAAACTAAACTAAACTAAACTCAAACTAAACTCAACTCAAACTAACTCAAACTAACCCAAACTAACTCAAACTAAACTAATTCAAACTAAACTAACTCAAACTAAACCAAACTCAAACTAAACTAATTCAAACTAAACTAACTCAAACTAAACCAAACTCAAACTAAACTAATTCAAACTAAACTAACTCAAACTTAACTCAAACTAAAATAACTCAAACTAAACTAAACCAAATTAACCCAAACTAAACTAACCCAAACTAACCTAGACTATGGGTTAGGGTTTATATTTACTATTTTCATGTTTTCTGTATTTATTTGATCGATTCTGAATCTGCTCAGGATCCTGGTTCAGGGTTTAGGCTTCAACATTTTGTCCCTAAAGACGATGACGGTTCTGGACACTCCGGGACATGCGGCTTCCCTGGTCCGGTCCCTGGTCCGGTCCCTGGTCCGGTCCCTGGTCCGGTCCCTGGTCCGGTCCCCGGTCTGGTCCCTGATCCGGGCTTTGGCCGGTCCCTGGTCGGGTCCAGTCTTTGGTCCGGTCCCTGGTCCGGTCCAGTCTTTGGTCCGGTCCCTGGTCCAGTCCAGTCTTTGGTCTGGTCCCAGGTCCAGTCCCTGGTCTAACCCGGTCTGTCGGTCGCAGTGCGTTTGGCGAGCGGTGAGGCGATGACGGTCCTGGACACTCCGGGACACGCGGCGTTCTCGAGTCTTCGGGCCAGAGGGGCGTCGGCCACAGACATCGTGATTCTGGTGATCGCGGCGGACGACGGCGTCATGGAACAGACTGTCGAGTCCATCCGACACGCCCGGAACGCCGGAGGTGAGTCCGGAACATTCTAGTGACGCTAACTGGAGGCACTGCTCTGTCCGAGGCTCTGACATACTGGAATCTGAGTTTAGTTTGACCCTCTCTGACCTCTGACCCTCTCTGACCTCCTCTGACCTCTGACCTCTGACCTCAGTCCCGATCATCGTGGCCGTGAATAAATGTGACAAACCTCAGTCGGACCCTGACAGGGTCAAGAGGGAGCTCCTGTCGCACGACGTCGTCTGTGAAGAGTTTGGAGGAGACGTGCAGGCGCTGCACCTGTCAGCCCTCAAGGTACACTCACCTGTACAGGCGCCGCACCTGTCTGCACTGAGGGGGTCGTTGTGTTGTGTGTACAGTTGTGTGTTGTGTGTACAGTTGTGTGTTGTGTGTACAGTTGTGTGTTGTGTGTACAGTTGTGTGTACAGTTGTGTGTACAGTTGTGTGTACAGTTGTGTGTCGTGTGTACAGTTGTGTGTTGTGTGTACAGTTGTGTGTCAGTTGTGTGTACAGTTGTGTGTTGTGTGTACAGTTGTGTGTACAGTTGTGTGTCGTGTGTACAGTTGTGTGTCGTGTGTACAGTTGTGTGTCGTGTGTACAGTTGTGTGTCGTGTGTTTGTGTTCAGGGGGAGGGGCTTGTGGAGCTCACTGAGGCGGTCGTGGCTTTGGCTGAAGTTCTGGAGCTGAAAGCCGAACCGGACGGAGCGATGGAAGGAACCGTGATCGAGAGTCGCATCGACAAAGGGAAAGGGTGAGGAGGACGAGGAGTGTGTCGTGTGTCGTGTGTAATAACTGGTGTGTGTGTAATAACTGGTGTGTGTGTCAGTCCTGTCAGTACCGCTCTGGTCCAGAGGGGGGCGCTCCGGAGGGGGGCGGTCCTGGTCTCGGGTCGGACTTGGGCCAAAGTCCGGTTCATGTTTGATGAAAACGGGACGGTTCTGAACGAGGCCGGACCGAGCCGAGCCGTGCAGGTCTGCGGCTGGAGAGACCTGCCCTCCGCCGGGGAGGACATCCTCGAGGTCGAGTCCGAGGTAAGACCGGGACTAGACCCAGTCTAGACCCAGTCTAGACCAGGAATAAACCTGAACTAAACATGAATTAGACCTGGACTAAACCAGGACTAAACCAGGACTAAACCAGGACTAAACCAGGACTAAACCTGGACTAAATCTGGACTAAACCTGGACTAAACATGAATTAGACCTGGACTAAACCAGGACTAAACCAGGACTAAACCAGGACTAAACCAGGACTAAACCTGGACTAAATCTGGACTAAACCTGGACTAAACATGAATTAGACCTGGACTAAACCAGGACTAAACCAGGACTAAACCAGGACTAAACCTGGACTAAACCTGGACTAAACCTGGACTAAACCCAGACTAAACCCAGACTAAACCCGAACTAAACCCGAACTAAACCCGGACTAAACCCGGACTAAACCCGGACTCTTGGTGGTCTGAGCAGCAGAGGGCGCGGGAGGTGGTGTCGTACCGACAGCACCTGGACGAGCAGCAGCGTCTGGGGGAGGAGCAAAAGACCATCGCGGCCAATCAGGAGGCTCATCTGCGACAGTACCGCCTCCAGAGGGCGGAGCTAGCACACCTGAGCTGGAGGCAGCGGAAGAGCGCCCTCTACCACAAAAACAAGGAAGTGTTCGCCACTCGCCCGCCAGAACGAGACACGGACCAAAGCTCGCCGCGGCTCAGCGTCGTCATCAAAGGTGCCACGCTTTTGGTTTGGGCGCGTTCTCCGAGTTTAGGAACGTTCTCCGAGTTTAGGAACGTTCTCCGAGTTTAGGAACGTTCTCTAAGTTTAGGAACGTTCTCCGAGTTTAGGAACGTTCTCCGAGTTTAGGAACGTTCTCTAAGTTTAGGAACGTTCTCCGAGTTTAGGAACGTTCTCCGAGTTTAGGAACGTTCTCTAAGTTTAGGAACGTTCTCCGAGTTTAGGAACGTTCTCCGAGTTTAGGAACGTTCTCTAAGTTTAGGAACGTTCTCCGAGTTTAGGAACGTTCTCTAAGTTTAGGAACGTTCTCCGAGTTTAGGAACGTTCTCCGAGTTTAGGAACGTTCTCTAAGTTTAGGAACGTTCTGTATTATTATTATTATTATTATTATTATTAGGGTTGAATTTGTGTTTTTAAAGTGAGATTTAGTTTGTCTCAGACGTGGACGACGCTTTAGACTTTATACTTACTCTGTTATTATATTTAATAATAATCATGATAATAATCATGGTGTGGTGTTGTTCAGGAGACGTGGACGTTTTTTTAGACTTTATACTTACTGTTATTATTATTATTTTTTAATATAATAATAATAAATATAATAATAATAATGACGGTGTGGTGTTGTTCAGGAGACGTGGACGGTTCTGTGGAGACCCTCCTGAATGTTCTGGACTCGTACGACGCTCAGGATCAGTGTGAACTCGACCTGATCCATTTTGGGACCGGAGACGTGTCCGAGACCGACGTGAACCTGGCACACACCTTCTCAGGTTAGGTCTCTAATCCGGGTTTAGACCTGGTTTAGTCCTGGTTTAGACCTAGTTTAGGCCTGGTTTAGTCCTGGTTTAGTCCTGGTTTAGACCTGGTTTAGTCCTGGTTTAGACCTGGTTTAGACCTGGTTTAGTCCTGGTTTAGTCCTGGTTTAGTCCTGATTTAGACCTGGTTTAGACCTGGTTTAGACCTGGTTTAGTCCTGGTTTAGTCCTGGTTTAGTCCTGGTTTAGTCCTGATTTAGACCTGGTTTAGACCTGGTTTAGACCTGGTTTAGACCTGGTTTAGTCCTGGTTTAGTCCTGGTTTAGTCCTGGTTTAGTTCTTGTGTGTGGAGAATGACATGGACCCTGTGTTTGTTTATCTTGTGTTGTTTTATTTGTGTCCTTATTTGCATCCTTGTGTCCTTTTTAGATTCCTTGTGTCCTTTTTTGCATCCTTGTGTCCTGTTTAGTTTCCTTGTGTCCTTTTTTGCATCCTTGTGTCCTTTTTAGATTCCTTGTGTCCTTATTTGCATCCTTGTGTCCTGTTTAGTTTCCTTGTGTCCTTTTTAGATTCCTTGTGTCCTTATTTGCATCCTTGTGTCCTTTTTAGTTTCCTTGTGTCCTTATTTGCATCCTTGTGTCCTGTTTAGTTTCCTTGTGTCCTTTTTTGCATCCTTGTGTCCTGTTTAGATTCCTTGTGTCCTTATTTGCATCCTTGTGTCCTTTTTAGATTCCTTGTGTCCTTATTTGCATCCTTGTGTCCTTTTTAGATTCCTTGTGTCCTTATTTGCATCCTTGTGTCCTTTTTAGTTTCCTTGTGTCCTTATTTGCATCCTTGTGTCCTGTTTAGTTTCCTTGTGTCCTTTTTTGCATCCTTGTGTCCTGTTTAGTTTCCTTGTGTCCTTTTTTGCATCCTTGTGTCCTTTTTAGATTCCTTGTGTCCTTATTTGCATCCTTGTGTCCTTGTTAGATTCCTTGTGTGTTTTTCATGTGTTTGTTGGTTCTTTGTTGCAGGTTCTGTTTACGGCTTTAACGTGTCGGTGTCGCGCTCCGTGCAGCAGGTGGCGCTGAAGAAGAACGTGCCGCTCAAACTTCACTCTGTTATTTACAAACTCGTCGAAGAACTCAAGCAGGAACTCAGCGAAAAACTGCCCTCAGAGACCATCCAGACAGTCCTGGGTAAGAACCGGGTCTAAACCAGATCTAAACCCTCCAGAGACCATCCAGACAGTCTTGGTCTCTGGTCTGGGCCCTGGTCCAGTCCCCGGTCTGGTCTAAGTCCGGTCTAAGTCTGGTCTTTGCAGGAGAGGCTGGGGTCCTGGCCGTCTTCGAGGTCTCCGTGGGGAAGAGGAAAGTCCCTGTGGCTGGATGCAGAGTCCAGAGAGGCGTCCTGGACAAACGGCAGCGCTTCAGAGTCCTGAGGGAGGGGCAGGTCCTGTGGGAGGGTATGTACTCCTGGGGGGGGTAGTTACTCCTGGGGGGGGTAGTTACTCCTGGGGGGTACGTACTCCGGGGGGGGGGGTAGTTACTCCTGGGGGGTACGTACTCCGGGGGGGGGGTAGTTACTCCTGGGGGGTACGTACTCCGGGGGTTGTAGTTTACTCCTGGGGGGGTATGTACTCCGGGGGGGTAGTTACTCCTGGGGGGGTACGTACTCCGGGGGTTGTAGTTACTCCTGGGGGGGGTATGTACTCCGGGGGGGTAGTTACTCCTGGGGGGTATGTACTCCGGGGGGGTATGTACTCCGGGGGGGTATGTACTCCGGGGGGGGTAGTTACTCCTGGGGGGGTACGTACTCCGGGGGGGGGTAGTTACTCCTGGGGGGTAGTTACTCCTGGGGGGGTACGTACTCCGGGGGTTGTAGTTACTCCTGGGGGGGTACGTACTCCGGGGGGGGGGGTAGTTACTCCTGGGGGGTATGTACTCCGGGGGGGGGGTAGTTACTCCTGGGGGGGTACGTACTCCGGGGGGGGGTAGTTACTCCTGGGGGGGTAGTTACTCCTGGGGGGGTACGTACTCCGGGGGGGGGGGGTAGTTACTCCTGGGGGGTACGTACTCCGGGGGTTGTAGTTACTCCTGGGGGGGTACGTACTCCGGGGGTTGTAGTTACTCCTGGGGGGGTATGTACTCCGGGGGGGTAGTTACTCCTGGGGGGGTATGTACTCCGGGGGGGGTAGTTACTCCTGGGGGGTACGTACTCCGGGGGTTGTAGTTACTCCTGGGGGGGTATGTACTCCGGGGGGGTAGTTACTCCTGGGGGGGTATGTACTCCGGGGGGGGTAGTTACTCCTGGGGGGTATGTACTCCGGGGGGGGTAGTTACTCCTGGGGGGTACGTACTCCGGGGGTTGTAGTTACTCCTGGGGGGGTATGTACTCCGGGGGGGGTAGTTACTCCTGGGGGGTACGTACTCCGGGGGTTGTAGTTACTCCTGGGGGGGTACGTACTCCGGGGGGGGGTAGTTACTCCTGGGGGTACGTACTCCGGGGGGGGGGGGGTAGTTACTCCTGGGGGGTACGTACTCCGGGGGGGGGGGTAGTTACTCCTGGGGGGGTACGTACTCCGGGGGGGGGGGGGGGGGTAGTTACTCCTGGGGGGTACGTACTCCAGACGACTCCCTCAACTTTATTTCTGTTGCACTTTAAAAACAAGAGTCGACCAAATTCTGCAGGAAAAAAACAAACAGGGACAAAGACGAGTCGGTAAAAGGTCGAACCTCAGACTTCCCACGTTTACACGAGAACTTTAATTCTGAAAGAAAACGATGTAATTCTGAATAAAAATGAATTCCTCTTTAAAAAGTCCATATAAACCTGGCCCTGGCCCTGGCCCTGGTCCTGGTCCTGGTCCTGGTCCTGGTCCTGGTCCTGGTCCTGGCCCTGGCCCTGGCCCTGGTCCTGGTCCTGGTCCTGTCTCGGGACTTTGATCCGTGTCTCTTTGGGTTTGTGAGCGGGATGCGGGGGTGGGCTGAGGTAGAGCAGCTCACTTTGTCTCCTTTGTGTTTGTGTCGGTGGAGGAACGACAAACCGAGACGACAGAAAAGTCGGAGCAGATGAAGTTTGTGTTTAAATCTGTCGGTGTTTCTGTCCAATCAGAACCTCCCCAGACGCTCACACACAGGAAAAAAAAACATCTCACCAGTTTTACACATAAACCTCAATTCATAATTATTATTTCCATGAAAACTCCAAGGAGAATATTTTAATTCCGAACTATTTAATTCAGAATAATTTATATGAAATAAAAAAAAAACGTGTAAACGTGGCACTGAGTTAAAACTGAGGAGAAAAAAGTGAGTGGATCCAGATCTGCAGAGAGAAGATTCCACTGGAGCAGCTGCTCTGTTTCCCCCAGTTTAACCCTGGACTCTGGTCTCTGGTCTTTGGTCTCTGGTCTCTGGTCTCTGGTCTTTGGTCTTTGGTCTCTGGTCTCTGGTCTCTGGTCTCTGGTCTTTGGTCTCTGGTCTCTGGTCTCTGGTCTTTGGTCTTTGGTCTCTGGTCTCTGGTCTCTGGTCTCTGGTCTCTGGTCTCTGGTCTTTGGTCTCTGGTCTCTGGTCTCTGGTCTCTGGTCTCTGGTCTCTGGTCTCTGGTCTCTGGTCTCTGGTCTTTGGTCTCTGGTCTCTGGTCTCTGGTCTCTGGTCTTTGGTCTCTGGTCTCTGGTCTCTGGTCTCTGGTCTCTGGTCTCTGGTCTCTGGTCTCTGGTCTCTGGTCTCTGGTCTCTGGTCTAACCCGGTCTCTGGTCTCTGGTCTCTGGTCTTTGGTCTCTGGTCTTTGGTCTCTGGTCTTTGGTCTTTGGTCTTTGGTCTCTGGTCTCTGGTCTCTGGTCTCTGGTCTCTGGTCTTTGGTCTTTGGTCTAACCCCGGTCTCTGGTCTCTGGTCTCTGGTCTTTGGTCTCTGGTCTCTGGTCTCTGGTCTCTGGTCTTTGGTCTAACCCCGGTCTCTGGTCTCTTTAGGGTCCCTTTCGGCTCTGAAGCATCATAAGGACGATGTTTCTTCTGTGAAGTTGGGGATGGACTGTGGACTTTCCGTCGACGGAGCCGTGGATTTCAAACCCGGCGACACAGTCCAGTGCTACGAGGAGGTCCAGACCCCCCAGACCTGCTCCTGGACCCCCCCGGGATTCTGACCCACAACTAGGACTGAAGTGGGACTAAACCGGGACTGAGCCAGGACAAAACCTCTTGTGGATTCAGCTGGTTCTGGTTTATTCAACCAAAATGGTGATAAAAATAGAATATTCTAATGAGTCTGTTGAAGATCTTAAGATTAAAATTATAATTATAATAATTATGACATTAAATGTTCCTTTTGTTTAATGTAAAAATTATTTTGTTTTTATTAAAGACACAAAAGTTTCAGATTCAAGAATGTTTTCATCCACGTTTCTGAAAATAAATGTAATAAAAACAAACAGCTCTGACCCCTGAACTCTGACCTTTGACCCCTGACCTCTGACACCATTTCTATGTTCCAGTGCTGCTCACTGAAGGTGCAGAGTTTTCATTACAAAAAGAAAATCATTTCAAAAGTGCGAGAGAAAAGTTTAAAATGAAGATAAACAATATTTCTTGGGATAATCTGAATCTAGAGTATTGCGGCGTATGTAGCCCAATGCTTTTCCCACACGCCGCGGCGGGATAAGACGCGGGGTAAAACACTGTGCACGCGTAACTCGGAACAAATGCATATACACGGTACTTGTTTGTCATAGTAGGCGTACGCGTTAGAGCACTTACTTTAAAGCTGCTGCCGTCCGTAGCCATGCACCGATACCTTCTATATGCAAATCTTTCCTGTTAAAATACGGTCAACAGAAAGTTGCTCCCCGTGCTCACCCCGCCACCATGATCCAAGGCCTCACACTCAGCAGGTGAGCGCGCGCTATATAGGCCACACCCACCGTGCCACCCCCAGACACCGCAGTGTAGTGCACATTAGTCACGTGTGGAAACCAATAGAAAACCCACGAATGGCTCCTACATAGAGAAGAATAATAATATTTATAATCTAGACCAGGAGAGTCAAACTCATTTTGTTCCGGGGGTCGTGTCCAACCGACTTTGATCCAAAGTGTCCGGATCAGAAAACTCATGTCATATAAACCCCAAAAATAACAAGAAGTTCAAATATTTGTGCAGAGAAACACAAATCTATTACAGAAATCTTTTTTAATTGATGAACTCTTTCTTTTACAAAATATTATAATATTATGAACAACCTGAAACTTTAAGAAAAATACAATTTCAACACAAAGTTTGAACATGAACTTGTCTGTAAACAGAATAAGTTCATTTTTGTTGTAAAATCCTGCACTCGGCTCCACTTTTCTCATGTTGGACATTTTCTGATGAGGGTCACGGTCAACAGTCAAAACGATCGTCCTTTAAGAGCGTTTGGAAAGAGACAAGTCTTCATTTGTGCTGCTCTGGTGGGAGGGGCCACGTACAGAGACGCTGGAGACGCTGCTGTGATAAACACCACACAAAATTAACACCATTTTAATAGAAAATATCATTCAAATATTTTAGTAGAAAATCACCCAAGGGCCACATTAAAAGTCTTGGAGGGCCGAATCTGGCCCCCGGGCCTTATGTTTGACACCTGTATTCTAGAGTTTGAAAATTCTGGTTTAGAATTAGTAAAGAATATTTCATCCTCTTATGAAGATGGAACACGTTAAATCCAGCTCCTGATATCACTGAAATAAATAAAATCATGATGATTTTTCTGTTTTCTTTGTGAAATCAAACGTTTCATGTTGAAGTCTTTTCCTCACACGATCTCGGCGTTTTTAAACACAGGTCCAGGTCTTTCCCTGATTGTTTCAGTAACTACAGACCCAGATCTGTTTTACCTGGATTTTTAAAAGTATTAGAAAAAGTTCTTTATAAAAGGTTATTTTCTTATATAAATAATAATTCAGTTCTTTGTAAGTATCAACGTGGTTTTGGTAAAACTCACAGCACGTTCACGTCTCAATAATGTTTATATCCAATTCAAACTTTCTGGTCGTCACTGTCGATGAAAATCTAAACTGGAAAGAGCAGCTGACTGACTCAGAACTTTATAAATCTCTTGGTTTTAGACTTAGACAAAATGTATTGATCCACAAGGGAAATTATTTGGACATTAAAAGAAAAGTTTCTAAATTTATGGATTATAATTTAGTTAAATGTACCTGTCATAATAACATCTGGTCTGCACTTTCCCAACTCCTCTCAACAATATTATTATTGGTGCAAAAATGTTTTGTTCAAAATGTAACTGATTCCACTCGTGTCGTTTATTCATCAAACTGAACATTCTTAATATTTATGACATTAATATTTATCACATTTGTATTTTATGTATAAAACTCTTAATATACGACTCTGATCCCTGAACATTTCACATTTTACTTTAAAACCAGTGAAGAGATTCAAAGATACAAAACTCGTCTAAATCATCATTTTCAAACGAGTCACAAGTGGAGCTCAGTTTTACTTCGATCCAGAGGCGGGAAATTCTGAAGCAGTTTTCACGTCGTTAGTGACGCGTCAGAAATGTTTAAGAAGAGTTTGAGGGAATGTTTGATATTTCATGATCTTGTTTGATAATGATTCAGTTTCAGAGTTTCATTGTGTTTTAATCCAAGTCTGAATCAAATGTTTTTCACCTACGTTGAGTAAATGTCATCGTTTTTATTCATGCTCAGCCACATTCAGTTTAAATGTTTTCATGAGGCGGAGGCTTTAATATTTTGCCCTTTGGGGGTTTTTGCCTTTTCCAGCACCAACTTTTTCATAGTCATATGTTATGTACATGTGAAATAAATAAATAAATATCGGGGTTAGTGAAATAATGTAAAATCAGGACAGGGCGTCGGACTCATCGCCATGACGGCGTCGGACTCTCAGATCAGGGCAAAGACAGTTTTTTTTCCCCTCAATAACGTTGTTCATGTCCATGAAAAATCTAAAAGGTGAATTCACAAATGTTGAACCTGATGATTTGTGTTTGTGATCAGACCCAGAAACTCTCGGTTTCAAACTGGTCCTGTCTGGATTT